GAAACCCCCCCCCCCCCCCGGGGATGGCCATGCCACAATTCTTCCTTCTCCATTCTCCTCTCAGGATCTTGGGCACGTACACATACGCACCCGGCATGAGTTTAAGCCACCGGGTCCGGGACTTGAATCGTGGTCGACTACATGGGAGTCCAGTGACGTAGCCATAACGCTAACTGCTGGTCCCAACAAATGATATATCTTTAGATATATTTGAAATTTTAAATATCTGTCATAAGGTGCAAGGAAATAATATACATCACATAAAATGAATTACAGTATTTATAATCATACATTATATAAAAATAAATGCCACTGAGAATTTTAATTTTCACCTAGGATAGCACTAAATATATTGATTTTAAAACATATTGCTTTTATTAGGTGCTCATATTTTTATTTTTTAAAAAAATAATTATTTAATTCAATTTGTTATTATTTTTTAATTTGACCAGAGAGAGGCAGAGAGAAAGGGAAGAAAGCAAACCCCCACGTCTGGGACTCGAACCACGGTTGGCCATGTGGGAATCCAGTGCCTTCAGCTATCATACCACCTACCAACCCGCATGATGTATTTTTCTATGATTTTCTATGCAAAAATGTTTCAAGACTTTCTCGATGACCCAATATATTCTATTAGTTATCTGTTGCTGCCTATTAAATTATCCCAAAGTTTAGCAATAAATATCACCTAAGAATAATATCTTCTCTCCCTGTGTCTGAGGGTCACTTATCTGGTAGCAGTTTAGTTGCATAGTTTTGCCTTAGGGCTCTCACAAAGTTTTTAAAGAGCTTCAGCTAGAGGCTGCGGTTACCTCATAAGGCTCAGTTGGGATGGTGAAATCCACCTCCAATCCTGTTCACATGGTTGTTGGAAGGCTTTAGTTCAGGCCTCGCTGGCTGCTAGTCCTCCCAATATGAGCCTCTTTATTTGCTTCCTGTACTATGTTAGCTTACTTCTCCCAGACAGAATGACCAGAGAGCGAGAGAGAGAGAGGATGAATGAAAATAACAGGCTCATGTATGTGTGCCCAGCACGTACAGGGAGACCTCAGGATGGGACCCAGGACCTTCTCATGTGGCTTCAATATCATGGAGCATTGTGTTAATCAATGTGCCACCATGACTGGCATTCAGTCCTTTTATAACCTAATCTTGGAAATGAGATGATATACTATTATTTGAGCTATAGTTGAAATATAATTCTCTGGAAGTATTAGGTCATCATAGAAGTCATGATGCATTTTTACATAGAAAAACACATCATGACTTTTTTGACGACCTAATACGTTTATAATGTTGTGTAACCCATCTAGTTCCAGAATATTTTTATTATCATAATTTCCAGAAGGAAACTCCATACTCATTAAAAAATTCCCCATTCCCTCCTCTTCCAGTATCTGGCAACCACTGACTTGCCTTTTACCTCTATTCTAGATATATATGAAATATTTAGAATGGAATCATACAATAAGTGGCCTTGTATGTGTGATTTCTTCCATGTAGCATGTTTTCAAGCTTCAGATACATGATACCAGGCTGTAGTACTTTATTCTTTTTAATGGCTAAATGATATTAATATGTATTTTGCTGTTGTTCAGTGGAGTGTTCTGTTCTATATGTGTTAGGTTTATTTGGTTTATATGTTTTTCATGTTCTCTGTTTCCTTATTGATCTTCTATCTGCTTGTTCTTTATTTTTAATGCAAGCTACTTTTCTAAAATAATTTTTAGATGACTTCATAATGGGATGATTTTTATCTCATTTTATTTGAATTTTTAGTAAGACTTTTTTAAAATCACTTTGTTAATGAATATGTAGTTCTCTTATGGTGTAGCCATGAATGTTTATAATAATTTGGAAGAAAAAAAATGTATTAGGAATCAGAAAAGCATTAAGGAAATAAGGAAAGAGAAATAAATATTGCAGACAATCAAACCTAGATTTTTTTGTTTGTTTGTTTTACAGAAATCACATCTATGTATGGCCTCAGTGCTACATGATTGTATATTCTAGGTTTAAATGTTTTACTTTTATAAAATTCAAAGTAATACAGGAATGAATTATTAGCCAATATTTATTTAAAGACAAAATGATAGTGCTCAAAGATGTTGAACATAGTGGTAGATAATATAGTCATGTGTCCCTTAACAGTAGGGATATGTTCTGAGAATTGTATCAAGTGATTTTTGTGTCAACATCAGAGTGTACTTACAAACCTGTGGTACAGTTTACTACACAACTTGGTTAAATGCACATATAGCCTATTGCTCCAGTCTGCAAACATTGCTGCATGCAATACTGTAGGAAATTATAACACAGTGGTAAATATCTGTATCTGAACAGAGAAAAGGTAAGTAAAAATATGAGAGTAAAAGTATGAGAGATAAAAATAGTACACCTAAGGACCAGCAGATGGCATAATGGTTGTCGCTGGGCTCACATGTAGTTGACCGCAGTTTGAGTCCCAAACCAGTGGCCTGAAACACACTGGGCATGTATGCATGCGTGCCCAAGATCTCTAGAGGAGAATGGAGGAGAAGAGATTGCGGCATGGCCATTAATTTCTCACTGTCTTTCTGTCTCTCCAGTTAGAGCTCACACCTTATAGCAAAAAAATCTCTTAAAAAGAAAAATAAATGGTACACTTGTATAGAGCATGTACCATGAATAGGACCAGAAGTTGCTCTGAGTGAGTTTCTGAGTGCACGGTGAGTGAATGTCAAGGCCTAGGATATTACTGTACACTACCGTAGACTTTATAAACACTGTACTCTTAGGCTACACTAGATTTGTTAAACTTCTTTTAGTAATAAATTAACTTCAGCTTATTGTGAGGTTTTTATTATATAAACTTGTTAATTTTTAAAAACTTTTGGCTTATTTATAATACTTAGCTTAAAATATAAACACCTAATATAGTTGTGCAAAATATTTTCTTCATATTCTATTTGTATAAGCTGTTGTCTAGTTTTATTTTTTATTTTTTAAACTAAGACATAAGCACATACAGTAGCCCAGGTCTGCACAGTTTCAGGATTATCACTATCACTGTCTTCCACCTCCACATCTTATCCCACTGGAAGGTCTTCAGGGACAGTAACACACATGGAGCTCTCATTTCCCATGATAGCAATGCCTTTTCTGGAATATCTCCTGAAGGACCTATACTTAGATACAGTGCTTTGATGACAGTGATGTCACTAGACATTAGGAATTTTTCAGACTCGTTATAATCTTACTGGACTACCACATCTTACGTATGGTACATCATTGACTGAAACGCCATTATGCAGCCATGTGCAGTCATCATGCATGACTATATAGAACACACATTGGGCTCTCTCTTAGGGGCACACAGTGTTATGACTACTCATAGAATCCTTTGTACCATCTTATACTTTTACTCTCCTGATATTCTCACAGTCTTCATTTATGTAGATAAATTTAATAGGACACTTTTTTTTTTTTTTTAAAGATTTTTGTCATAGGGCACATGCTCGAGGCAGACACAGAGAGGGAAAGTAAGAAATCACACCCCATACTCCTTCAAGGAGGGCTATGCCAGTTGTGGCTATGCCACAATCCCTTTTCCTCTATTCTCCTCTTAGGATTTTGGCCACCATGCATACATGCTTGGAGTGATTCTCAAGCTACTGGGTCTGGGACTCCAACTGTGGTGTCCATGTGGGAATCCAGGGCTTTAACCACCACATCACTGCTGGCCCCAGTAGGACACTTGTTTTAATAGATTACAAAATATCCTAAGAAAGATTGTGCTAATATCAGTAGTCTTAACAATTTTTGTCCGGATAGCATCTGCATGTCTTATAATTTACTGTTAGGTTGAACAACTGAAATACTGTTTGGTGGTTTCTTTTCAGCCACTCGTATGGAAAATTTGAAATGCAGAGGGGAAACAATAACTATGGAAATCAGTGAAGCCATGAAGGTAAAAGCTAAAATGAACAAAATGTATGATTTTCAAAAGGTATTTGCTGGGAACCAGCAGTTAGCGTAATGGCTATGTCGCTGGACTCCCACATAGTTGACCGCGGTTCGTGTCCTGGACCCGGTGGCTTAAAACTCACGCCGGGCGCGTGTGCGTGCATGCCCAGGATCCCGAGAGGAGAATGGAGGAGAAGGGATTGCAGCGTGACCATCCCCCCTGGGGGGGTGATTTCTCACTTTCTGTCTCTATGTCTCTCTCTGTCTGTCTGGCGAGCGCACGCGCCCTACAGTGAAAATCTCTAAAAAAAAAAAAAAAAAAGGTATTTGCTTTCAAACTTTCTATGTGTATTAGTCTGCTCTAATAGGAATTTTTGGTGTTTTAAATAGATCTTTAATGAATTTAGTAAGCAACAGTAACATTCAGAATAACTACTATTTATCATGTACCTACTATATGCCTGGTATTATGCCTGATTTCTTCGAAAGTGGGTTATATTTTTGTGTTCTGAGTGTTAGCGATTCAATCAAACAATTTGAGATAATAATAGCTAACATTTACTGAGCATGTAGAATGGGGTCAGACACCATATAGATGCCTTACATGTATTATCTCATTTAATCCTTAACACTAACCCTGTAAGATAGGTACTGTTGTGTCACTGTTTTATAGATAAGGAAACTGAGGCACAGAGAAGCTAAGCAGGTTGCCCAGATAAGCAGCTGAGTCAGGGTTTAAACCCTGGTTGTCTGATTCCAAAAATTGTACACTTTTTTTTGGAGAGGTTTTTGCTATAGGGCACATGTGCTCGTCAGACAGAGAGAGACATAGAGACAGAAAGCAAGAAATCACCCCCCAGAGGGGATGGCCACACCATGATCCCTTCTCCTCCATTCTCCTCTTGGGACCTTGGGCACGCATGCACAAACGCCTGGCGTGAGTTTAAGCCACCGGGTCCGGGGCACGAACCACGGTCGACTACGTGGGAGTCCAGCGACACAGCCATTACATTAACTGCTGGTCCCTTTTTTTTTTTTTAAATTTATTTATTTATTGTATGAGCCAGACAGTGAAAAAGAGAGCGAGAGACCACCTCCAACAGAGGCTTGTTGCCACAGTCCACCCCCAGCCAGCCCAGATCATCTCATGCACCTATGGACCTCACAAGAGGGGACCTCACAAGGTGTCGTGTTTACTGCCGCATCAGTTCCGAGAGAGCATGCTCTGAATAAGTAAATTAAACAACTGCTCCAACTCGGGACACTTATTATTACTATCAGTAGTAAAATTGTTTGCATTCTTGACACTCCTTTTACCCAAACAGGAAAACATTGAGAGTTCTAGTATATAGCAAATACGTCTAAACTCCTTCAGAATCTCTCCAGTTCTGATGTTAATTTTCTATAACTTTTTTTGTGGCGTGGGTTGCTTTCATGATTTTATGGTGGCCATCCTGTTCTCATAGAACTTTCTTGGTCAAGAGTTGGCCAGTTCTGGTGGACCCGGCTAAAACTCTGCCCACCACATAATTTTGTAAATAAGCTTCATTGGAACACAGCCGTGTCCATTCATTTACTTATTCTCTATAACTTCTTTCACATTACAGCACCACAACTGAGTTCTTGTGGTAGAGATGTAAGGCCCCCAGAGCCTAAAATATTATGTTTACTATTATATCCTTTACAGGAAAAATGTGCAGATTCCTGCTTTTGATAATTAAGATTGTTTTAAATACTCATTATACTAAAATATGGAATGTCAGACCTTTAGTCTTGAGTTCTGAAATTCTTTTACCTCCAGTTCTACCGAAGTTTTATTCTATTACCAGGCATTGTAGAAACAGAACATACATTTTTAGTCTTGGCTTCTAGTTATAATTCCTCAGCTTAAACTGGTATTTTAAGGGTAAACTAAAATATCTGTGACCCCAAAAATTAGATCTCAGAAAAAGTCTAGGCCCAAATAATTAAAATCTAGAATGTTGTGTCCATCTCGGTGTGTTTGTGTTTGAATCTAAGGTTACTGAGTAGTACTGTTTTGTTTTGTTTAAGTCCTTGCCTGCATTAATTGAACAAGGAGATGGGTTTTCCCAAGTTTTAAAGATGCAGCCTATTATCCAGCTCCAGAGAATCCACCAAGAAGTCTTTTCCAGTTGCTGTAGAAAACCAGATGCTAAGCCTGAGAGTGTTATAGCACAACTAGAAACCACACCAACAGAAACTGCTCCCAGGAAAACCTCTGACATCGTACTGAAAAGAAAGCGAACTGAAGACTGCCCCCAGAAAAAATGGTATCCGTTGCGGCCAAAGAGAATAAATCTTGATACATAATTTTTTTTGTTGTTTATTTGGGGAATTGAAAACAGGTGATAACATTTAAATTACAGCCTAGTACTCAGATAGGACTTCATTTAAACCAACAAGCAACTTTTACCAGTGATTCATTTTTACAAGTGTAGTAGCTTTGCTGGGATATGATGTAATGTTATATTTCTCACTGTTTCATCTATAGTAGATGAAAAGCATATTTGAGTTTTGGCACAAGGCTCATCAGTGAGCACAAAGGGTGCAAACTTCTGCTTTCATTAAGTACCATTTAGCTCTTGGCCTCCTTGCAGCTTTTACAGAATTTTATGAATAATGTATTCCATGGGGTTTCCTTGATATGCATCTTTCTAGAGAAAAAAAAAGAGCTGTGTAATCTTTAAGTGTTGAAGAATAATCATTAGTTCTGCACAGCAGCACGTGCAGCTAGGTTTTGTTTTAATATAGATATATATATGCAGTTTGATTTTTTTTTTAAATTAACGTATAGATGACAAGACTGGCTTTGACCTTGTTACTCTGAGTTCAGGTAATTTGGGATTTTTTTGTTTTGTTTTGTTTTGTTTTGTAAGATAGCTAAGACAATTACCAGTGTGGCTGTTATTCTTAGAAATAAAAATTGACATGTGGCCAATGTTTCCTGCCCACATTTAGGTTTTCTGTAGATTTTTTAGCATAATTTGACTTGGAACTAATAGTTTCTTTGGGGGATTTCTCACTTATTCCTTTATAGATCATTCCAGTTCAAACTATATATATATATATATATATATATAGTTATCAGATTAATACACTAGTCAATTGTCATTGTGGAACAGATGCAATCATACCAAAGTATTTTACATTTGAAGATGTTTATATATTTAATATATAATCATTGGTAGAAGTCCAAGAAAACTACATGAAAAAAGCCTATACTTAATTCTAATTTTTTATAGCACTTATTGTGTGTCTCTAACTCGTTATGCAATGTAGATACGGCTGTTTAATTTAATTAACAAAATTGTTTCACCTTTTGATGATTACTTTACCTTCATCCATTTTCAGAGGAATTTACTAATCATGAGGTTGAAAAATTTGTACTGCCCTGGCTCCTTGTGTTTTAATAATCATAAATGTATAGATTTGACAGAAGGTCTGTCTCAGTGACTTACAAAGCCACTTTACTGCATTCTGTGTTTTAATGTTATAATTTGAGACCTGTATATTTGTACATAGCAGTGTGTTTTTTATTAAAATAATGTACAAAGCCCAAAATCTTGATACTGTGTATTTTTAAGAGTTACCGTAGGGATTCTTAAAATCAGCTTTAGTCAGATGGTAGGTCACTTCTCTGCATTTCCTTATTTTTTTAATACCAGAGGGCATGTGCATGCATGTATTACAGAAGGAGAGAGAAAGCACCCACCAACAGGGCCTGGTCACTTCACAGTCCTTTTTCCTCCAATTCTCTATCCTGTTTGGATCTGAGGTATTCATGCACACATTCCCAGAGTGTTTTTTCAACCACCGGGATAAGACTTGAACCCTGGTCAGCCATGTGGAGTCCAGCTTCCTCTGGACAGCACCAACCATTGCTCTTTGGGGCCAGCCCCACACTGCATTTCAGAACATATCAAACTTCATTTTTATTTATTTTTTTAAAAAGCCTTTTTCCTTTATTCATAATAAAGTGCATGTGTGTGCATATGACAGGGAAAAAGAGAGAGAGAAAATACCTCCCGATTGGGCATCAAGATCCTGGGCGTACACACAGGTATCTGGAATATTGCTCTACTGTCCCATCTTTTGCTCTTTGGTCAAAACTGGTAGTGTCGGGTACCAGCAGTTGGCGTAATGGCTATGTCGCTGGACTCCCACGTAGTCGACCACGGTTCACGTCCCGGACCTGGTGGCTTAAAACTCACGCCGGGCGCGTGTGCGTGCGTGCCCAAGATCCCGAGAGGAGAATGGAGGAGAAGGGATTGCGGTGTGACCATCCCCCCTGGGGGGTGATTTCTCGCTTTCTGTCTCTATGTCTGTCTCTGTCTGTCTGGCGAGTGCACGCGCCCTGTAGTGAAAACCTCTCCAAAATAATAATAATAATAATAATAAAAATTTAAAAATAAAAAAAAACTGGTAGTGTTTCTGCTGCTTTGATCCCCGCTGGCACTGTTTGTGCTGGTATAATCCCATCTCTATTTCTGGCTTCTGCTGAGGTGGCTGATTAAATCTGTGGTTCATATGCATACTAAACTCTTTATCAAATAAACAATTGTTTGGCTGTTCTCTTCAGAATAAGTTTCCTTAACTTTCACTATATGTATAGGCTGAGAATGTTCTAAATCCTTAAATTTGGGTTCCTTTTTGCTTAACCATTCTTTCAGTTTCTCTGTCTCATATTTTACTTTAAGTAGTAAGGATTCTCTGTCTCATATTTTACTTTAAGTAGTAAGGATGACCCAGGAAGTTCCTTCCACACTTCAAAACTCAGCTAAAGGGAACCAGCAGTTAGCGTAATGGCTATGTCGCTGGACTCCCACATAGTCGACCGCGGTTCGCGTCTCGGACCCGGTGGCTTAAATCTCACGCCGGGCGCGTGTGCGTGCGTGCCCAAGATCCCGAGAGGAGAATGGAGGAGAAGGGATTGCGGCGTGACCATCCCCCCTGGGGGGTGATTTCTCGCTTTCTGTCTCTATGTCTCTCTCTCTGTCTGTCTGGCGAGCGCACGCGCCCTATAGTGAAAACCTCTCAAAAAAAAAAAAAAACTCAGCTAAATAATCCAGTTTCATTGCTGAAAAGTTTTACTTTCCACAAAACACTAGAACATAATTTAGCCAAGTTCTTTGCTGCTTTATAGTGCAAACACCAGTGTCCAATACCTGCTTCTCATTTCCATCTGAGGTCTACCAGAATGACCTTGAATGCACACATTACCAGCATTCTGCTCATGGATATTCATGTATCCCCTAAAAAGCTGGGGCTTTTCAGCTTTCCTCTTTCTGCACCCTCACTAGAATCACATGCAATGGTCATATTTTTATCACCAGTCCCTTCACCACCACCCTGGCATTTTCTAACATGCATCTCAAATATCTTTCAGCCTCTACCCATTACACAGTTGTTATAGTAGCACTTCTTGGTACCAAAATCTGTATTCATCTGTGCAGGCTGCTGTAACAAAATACCACAGGCTGGATGACTTACACAACAGATATTTATTTCTCACAGTTCTAGAGGCTACAAGTCCGTGATCAGGATGCTGGTGATGGCCATCTTCCTAGCTTGTACATAGCCACCTTCTTGCTATGTCCCCACATGGCCTTTCCTCGGTGTGAACATCTGGATAGAAAGAACACAAGTACTCCACTGTTTCTTCTTGTAAGAACATTGATCCTGTCAGACCCTTACACCGTGGTTACCCTCCCTGTCAGGGTCCTTGCTTGGATCACCCCAACAACCCTTTAGTCCTTCTGAAGCATTAGCTCTGCCTTTTGTAGCACAACCGATTCAGTTGCCATTTCCATGTTATGATTTCCTTGCTCTCTTTTCCTATATTGGAAGCTCCTTTTCTTTTGAGCCATTTTAGAGCTCAGTGTCTTCAGAAGAATGGGAAGCTTTGATCTTGGTATCTTGCTTCATTTCCATCCCTGATAAAAATTTAGCGGGGGTGAGACCCGCAGATGGTGTAATGGTTACATCACTGGACTCCCACTGAGTTGACCAGGGTTTGAGTCCTGGACTCAGTGGCTTAAACTCATCCTAGATGTGTGTGTGTGTGTGTGTGTGTGTGTGTATGTGTATGTGTGTTTGTGTATGCCCAAGATCCCTAGAAGACTCGACCACATTCTAAATGATGTTTTAAAATATTTTTTCATAATCACACCTCCTTTTATTCCACAAATGCTCAATGACTGTAAATAGTGTGCTAAGATACACACTTGTAAACCAAGGCACAGACCCTGCCCAGAATCAGCTTGCTGTCATTTATGGGAGAGGCCGGGGGTGGGGTGAGGGATCTAGTAAGGGACCAAGTCAGAGCTGGGAGTCTCAGGAGCAGGCAGACATGCACTTTTGCTCCTAGAGGGAACATGAGAGTGAAACTTGGGCCTGGAGACTTCTGTGGAATTAGCTGATTGCAAGAAATGGTTTTGTCTGGTTTTGGAAACTATGGTGAAGCCCTAAGAAATTCTGGTAACTTACCGGCAAATTTTAACACTCACTGCAATTTCTTTTTGTTGGAATCCTGACCCAAGAGTTCTCCTTTTTAAAAAATTTTTCAGATTTGACAAATGATTACATTTTGCTTCTTTAGAAATACTCCTTACTAAAATTACTCATTTCCCTTGTCTTTCACACTCAAAGGGAACATAAATTCAAACACATAAATAAGCATTATTTATGTTTCACCCCCACTTCAAGCACTCCCATATATGGCTCCCCTCCGAAACACTATACTTAATTTGCTGGGAGCTCGCCATTGGCGGGTGCCCCACGTCAAAGTGAGAGGAAATGGAGGGCCCAGCTGGGATGTGGCAGCTAAGGGTCTGTGATGGTATTCCTCTCTCCAGAGATCTCGCCTAATGCTGTACCTGATGAGCAGATAAGTCTGTGGTTCCCTTCACTACTTAACACATCAGGCCAGAGCCTGAAAATTCTCAGAAGTCTTTTTTTTTTCTTTTTTCTCTAACAAAACTCTTTCTCTTGCATATCTCCCTACAAATCAGATTTGAATAAAATTGTTTAAATAAACCTAAGATGCCAGATTTGTTCTAGCTAAATGAGGTCACAATTCAATCTGCTCAGAGTAGTTCAAGATAAAAGATTACTCAAAGAAAAACAAGAGATTAAATGAAGCCACACTATAACAGTACAGCAGAATTGGGGGAAAGGCCACTAGTATGGTTTGGATGATGGTTTGTCCCCCAAAGGCTTTTTTGGACTTTAGTCCCCAGTGTAATGCCATTGGGATATGGGATAGCCAGGGCAGAGACTGAACCATAGAGGCATTGATGGACCTCTGGATGGATTAATGTTGTCTTGTGAGAGACTTGAACATTCTAGCTCTCCTGAGAAGGGCTGGTTCTAGAGAGAGGGGGTTGTTATAAAAGAAAGATGGTGACCCCCAGGTTGCTCTCCCTGCATGTATTGTCATTCTCTGATTCTGTGAGCCATGCTGTGACATAGGACAACCTGATGCCAGCTCTACATCTTCAGACTTTGTAGCCACCAGAATTGTGAGTCAAATAAACCTCTCTTTCTTTATAAATTACTCACTCTCAGATATTTCTGTTAGCAATGCAAAGCAGATTAAGACAGTCACTAGTAAATAGTATGAATTATAGGCTTGTTTAAAGCAGCGTATTCCAAAAACAAAATAGGAAGAATTTACTGTATGCCCAGAATTGTACAAAACCACTTTTTTGCTGCTCTTTTTAAAAGAATTATTTATTTATTTATTTATTTATTTATTTATTATTTTTAAATTTGCTGCAGGGCATGTACATTCACCAGAGACACACAGACAGAGAGAAAGTGAGAAAGCAAGCTGCCAGTACCAAGACTTAAACTGCATTTGGCCATGTGAGCCTTGACTGCCCTGCCCCTGCTGCTCTCTCTTTTTTTTAATTGCTAGAAGACAAATTATACTCATCATAGACAGAAAAAGAGGGAGGGAGAAAACATACCCCCAGTAGGACATAGAAATGTCACGATCCCCTCTCTTCCATTTCTCCATCCTGTTGGGATTTTGGACACATACATACAAGTGTCCAGCGTGTTTTTCAACCTTCTGGGGTCAGGACTTGAACCATGTGGTCAGCCATGTGGGATTCAGCTCCCTTGACCACTAGTCCGTGAGGGTGGCCCTAAAATACTTTTTGTAAATGTTTAGTAAGTATCTTATCAACTTATTTGCTAATGGTAATAGCAAGCAAAACTAGCAGTTACCATGTATAGAATGTTCATGCTAAGAACATACTAAGAGCTTCACATGGACTGTCATTTAATCCTCAGAAACAACCCATGAGGAAGGGACTGTTATCTTCAGGGTGAAGAGATAAGAGAGCAAGCACCACCACCTTCCCAATAGTCTACATACTGTACTTAGCAGAGTAAAGGCCTTCTGCCTCCCAGCCCTGCCTCCAGCTTCTCTCTGGATTCACGGCAAAGGTCATGTCCAGAGTCTCCGATGTCCTCGCATTATAACCCTTTTTTTTTTTTTAAATTCCAATGACATATAGCAACATATGGTAACAACAAACATCTCTAAATTTCAAAGGAATTAATAGCTAATATCAGATAATACATAATAGTAATAACAACCTCTAAGACATTAGTCAAAGTTGTTTGAAACTGCTGATTATCTTATTGTGCTAAATGTGTACTTTGCTGTTAATTGCTTGGAAAATAGAAATTATTATAGCCAGTCAT